TTTTTTTTCTGCACACTGCTTACTTAGCTTGTTGCATGCATGCAAGCAATGTAAGGTTTAAAAAAATTAATGTTGGTGGCGCACTTCACATCTTGTGCTCATAGTTTTTCGTCGATTATAGGCATTTTTAGTTGATTTTCATAATTAAAAAATAAAAAATAAATTTAATAAAATTTGTATTAGTTTTTGTAGATCAGTTTAGTCCAGTTTTAGTTAATACTAGGCTAATTACAAGATATTTTGTATAGATATTTCAACTAGCAATCATTTTTTTTAATTTGCTGGTTTGTGAATTTTTACCTAGCAATTATGACAAACCTACTAGCAAATTGCTAGTTTGCTAGCGTGAATTTCGAGCCCTGTAAATGTAAAAAGTAAATGTCTTTCAATACATACATGCCATTTTTGTGACAATTGAAGACAGCAGATTACAATAGGATGTGTCTCATTTTGGGGTATCAAAACGTCGGTGCTTTGACCTTAGTGGTGTCGGGATTTTGTGTAGGCCTAGGCCTATTTGTAGCCAGGCATTTTTTGGTCATAAACAATAGGGCCTATCACAAAATATCCAAGGCTTCTGGGCAACAAAAGAAGTATTTTTTGGCTACTATTTTCAATTTCATTTTCAAAAACCTTGCATATACTAATAAAACTTTGAGAAGAATGATGAGAGAAGATAACAGAGTATAGTAAGCCTAAGCAATGGCCCTAGGTCTAAGCTATGCTTGAATTGCGCTGTGATAGCTAAACGTATGCTTACACATATTCGTTCGCGTGCGAAGCCTCTCTATTGTAAAGTGATGAATGAAAACACATGGTTTTATTTGTAGGTTGAGGCCTACAGTTGTAGGTCTACGTAACATCGTCTGTTAATGACATACATTTAAAAAGTTGACTTATAGGCAGTTATTAAACAAAGTTTATACCTTTGTCGCATAGGTAATCTTGCAATATTTTAATGTTCTTGTAAATTAAAACATATAAAGTGATGAAATATTATACACTAGACACATGGTTTTAGTTGAACATTTAATTATGACATTGTAAAGTGATAAATGAAGACAATAAACTCAATGGTTTTTTTTTTGTAGGCCTACATGTCAAACATCATCGTTTGTTCATGACATAAATTTATTGAGTTTTACTTACATATTAGGTCAAAGGTCACCACAAATTTAACTCAACCTTGATTTTACGAATCCCCAGATTTACTTATGCCCTCCTGTCCCATACCGTTTGTAAGATCGATAGCCATCCCTAAGTCTCATATTGAGATTCAGTTTGTGTAAAGCATCGTGAGTGTATGTCTTGTGATATTGTTGCCTACAAATAGGACAGTGATATATCCACCATTGTCAATCCTTGGCGCTTGTGGGTGTGTGTGTCGGTGCCTAAAGAAATAGAAAAAATGACCTGAGTTTGTATAGCATAAAGGGAAAGAAATGAATACACACCATTTGAGTAATTCCCTGATCAGAAATGTCAATATTAATAAAGCAAGGTTAATAATAAGTGTGATGCTTAAAGCAGTGGTCTCGCCAGCTTTACCTAAGCGTGGCAGGACCACAACGCTTAGGCAAAAACAACAAAGTCTGCACCACGCTTAAAATAGCTGTCACACTTGCTAACATCCGAAGAGATAATACAAAAATGACTTTACAAATTTAATAAAAATAGAAAATAATTTTGTAGATTATTATTTTTTTTGTCGATTCCCATTATATATAACTATGACATGAATTGCATCCATGTAGCTTTCGTATTTTTTGCACAAAAAAAAAAATATTAAAAGTATCCTGATTTCCCATGCATTTCTCCTATACCTCGATGATTTTTTGCCTACCAGGATAGGGCACCGCTAGCAATTCAAGTAGGCCAATGTAAACATTGAAAGGAGTCTATACTGTAGTGTAAGGCACCCAACCCAACTGCAACATAATCTCTTTTTACGCCACTTGTGCGTGCATGAACTGACAAAAGTAGTAGGTGTACTCAGGGAGGTGCCTGGTCAATACTAAAAAATAGTGGGCTGGGTGGAACGTCGTTTATTACTGTGCATAAGTGAGACTATCGTAATATTCAATGATTTTACGAATCGATGAACAAACTTAACATTAAAAAATTTGATTTTGTGGCAATTTCCGATGTAGTTGCAGTCCCTCCTGGGCTAACTTCCACGAAAGAAAACTCTCCTTGCTGTTGAAAGAGATTACATGTTAAAACCATCCCTCCAAAAATGGTGTCCATCATCAAAGTAGATCAAATTTTGCATTAAACTAAACTAACATGCTCGAGGGTGGGTTTCAAGGAAACTTTTACAGACACACATATACAGACATCAATCAAACCTCCAAAATTGGTGAGTTTACACAATCAGTTTTGAAATGAAAATGTTTTCTTGTTTCAGGGGTGCCTTGGCATGCAGTATAGCACTTCAGGCTGTGAAGACAGTTTCAGTAGAAGAAAATGGTATTAAGGAAATTGATATCAAGCGATATGCCAAAGTAGAAAAGGTATCGTTAGTTTTTATTATAATTATCTCTCTTTACAGTCTGATTCAAGTAATGATGAGGATGGTGGTGGTGACAGTTGTAATTATTACCCTTGGTCATTGAACGCACAAACAGCCATTTTAAATTATCTTTGCTCTCTAGGTTCCAAATGGTCTTGTAGGATACTTATAATATATAAATATTTATAAATATATCAAAAAAAGAATGATCCTGTGTAAAAAAAAAAAAACTTGCTAGCTTATCATATAGAAATAATTCAGAGATGTTAGTTTGTTTTATTAACAAGTCTGCTGCCATCATTTGACTCATAGATTCCAGGAGGCACTATTGAAGACTCTAAAGTTCTAACTGGTGTGATGTTGAATAAAGACGTTGTTCATCCAAAGATGAAGAGAAACATAAAGAATCCACGAATTATCCTTCTCGATTGCAACTTGGAATATAAAAAAGGAGAGTCACAGGTATGTTTTGGCACATACCTTTGTGGGTATTATTCTTATTGTTAATGTTCCAGTAATAGCGTGCATTTAGTTTCATTGGAAAAAAGGTTGTTGGTACGTATTAAGCACTTGTGTCAAGTATAAGCATGTATTTCGAATGTCTTTAGATACTTAATATCGCTATACTTTGCGCCGAGAGAGAAGAACACTTGATGCCTGGGCCCAATAATGGGCTCGGACACTAAGATGAAAAATTAAATATAAACGGTAATGGAAAAATATTACCTATATTGGACAAATAAACATTTATGTTTGACATTTAGATATCTGTATCCCACAAACCCCCAACTGGCAGTGCAGAATTTCACTAAGCAGACCCCAATTAAGTACTTTTTCTTCGATTTATATTTACAATTATTTATATACTTTTTATGTAATTTTTATTTACAGACTAACATTGAACTGAGCAGTGAGACAGATTTCAACCGAATCTTGCAACTAGAAGAGGAGTACATTCAAAAGATTTGCAATGAGGTCATTGCACTTAAGCCTGACCTCGTTTTCACTGAGAAGGGTATCTCAGGTAAAGAATACCATAAATATTTATTATAACTATTTTTATTATTAATAATTATTATTATTATTATCAATTTATAATTATTATTTATTTATAATTTATATATACCTGTATTAAAGACCATATTAAATTTTATTAAAGACCACGTCTGGGGTTTCCATAGTCTTTAACAGCTTTGGTCTCTAATAAGCTAAAAGACATTGATAATTTGAGGTCACAGAGAAGTGGAGGTGGTTTAATTGGAAGGATCTGTAATTAGAGGGTGACTTCCATATACTTTTAAAATTTTAAATTTATAATGTATAAGTAGTGATATGTACAAAGAGGTAAATTTTTAGTGGGAGAGCAATAATCCATATCCAAGAACTCAGCAATATAGGCCACATGGATTCACACCAGTGACCTCAAGGGTAACAGCCTGAACTGCCCATTGACTACTCCATCAACATATATTTCTCTTTTTTTTTTGGCCTTAATTGGTATTTTAAAATATAATCTTCTCTTGTTTACTAGTAATATATTTATAAATGTATAAGATTATGTTCTCACAACTAAAAAACATCTCCACTCCCTAAGCCTGGGAATGAGACTTCGCTGATAAAGCATCACATTATTTCATTTATTTAAGAGGGCCCCTAAATATCAGCTGACCTCATATGATATGCTGAAAGGGTCACCCTCAATAAATATGGTTAAATAAAATATAAATTATTTTTCAAATTGAAAACCAAAAGTAATAGTGGTATATAAGATACAGTATGGGGAAAGTCAAATCAAAATGCCTATGGTAACATTCCTTTTTTTATGTTTCTGTCTTTTTAATTATATATTTGTTACAGCTGTAATATAATATATTACTATAATATATTACCTTGAAATGATATTAAATTACAAATTAATTTTGATTTTGGCGAAACATTTTTTATACCTGGTTTAGCGAACCTGCTGACTGCAAATATTGATGATTTTGAATGAAAATGATATTTAATTTTTGGCCAATTAGCACACCTGCTGTCACAAAAAAAGTGTAAATTTCAGAAAAAAATAAAAGTTTTTCTTTATTTTTATCATGCTCACTCCTGCCTTGAAATCGCCAAAGATAAGATATGTGTATTTCTTCCTAATTAGATAAGATATGTGTATTTCTTCCTAATTATATAAATTTGGAGCATTCAACCATCCTATTTTGCATTCACCAATAAAATTTAATTTTTATCTTCTCTGTCTGGATGTTTTTGGCAAAACTATTTGCTAAATAAGGCAAGAATTTTTTTATAACTTGTTTAGCGAAACCCGCCGACTGCAAATATTGATGATTTCAAATAAAAATAAAATTTTATTTTTGGCCAATTATCGCACCACAAAAAAGTGGAAATTTCAGAAAAAAATTAATACTTTTTCTTTATTTTTATTACGCCCTCCACTGCATCGAAATCTCCAAAGATAAAATATGTTTCTTCCTAATTATACAAATTTGAATCATTTAACCATCCTACCAATAAAATTTTAGTTTTATTTTCTTCTCCTCTTGATGTTTTAGCCAAAACTATTTGCTAAATAAGAAAACACAATTTTATTTTTATTCCGCTCTCCTCCGATGATCATTAAAAAAATATGTACTCGAAACAAGGAATAAAAAAAGTCTCACCTAAGAAAACAATTTCTATTTTTATTCCGCCCTTCTCCGATGATCTTCAAAAAAATAAGTTCGCGAAAAAAGGAATAAAATGTCTCGCCTTATATAGACATTGTTTGTTCAGCTGATTTTATTAACATACGGCATTCCATGAAATTTTAAACAATGTGTTACCTTGTCCTTAACACCCTTTGCATAATATAATTTGCAAAGCATTATTAAAAATTGTACCCGATATATAGTGAAGTTTAAAAATAGGCTGTGGAATAGTGGTGCTCGTCTTTCAGTAAGTTCATTTCCTCTATAAATATATTTTTTTTACGTGTGTAAGAACTTAAGTCTCATGTAGACCACTAACTTATTACAGATTTGGCTCAGCATTTCTTAGTCAAAGCTGGAATCTCCGCTATTAGACGTGTGAGGAAGTCTGACAACAACCGAATTGCCAGGTAATGAATAGTGTTTATATGGTTTTTAAACAAGTCCTTAAGCATTTCCAATAGAATGTTTGAACTAAGTCTTCTTGGATAAGGGCTTGACACCAGTGTACACCTCTGGCTTGCTTGCCCATTGCATCTTTTGGAAAAGAAAATAGTTACCCCAATGCTTGGTTCATTGGCACCCTTGTCGTTGTGGAATGATGTGAACATGAAGCAAATAACTCCCTCTCTACGACTGCTAAAGCAGTCATGGCCACGCCCATGCAATTCAGCACAATATAAATCTATGATGCTGCAAGTTTTGGGTTACTTTCCTTCCTTTATCCATCTACCTTTCATGGCACTTATATTTTCATTATCCTTTATGATTGGATGTATACATAAAATAGGCCCTAGAATCACAAACATTTCCAACTGTTTATATAGTCAATTACATATTTTAATAGTTTTAAATATTAACTTGCATTGGATAATACTACATAGAAATAGTTTCGTCATGAATTAACAAGTGCATAAAGTAAATGAATATTTTATGTTCATTAATTTTTAAAATTAATCAGATTTTACTATAGTAATTGTAGACCTATATGTATTATTTTATTATGGTAGTATTTTTTTGTTTTGTAAATTATTCAAATGATGTTGTAAATTAAGTTATGTTTAAAGTGTAATGACAGAAAGATTTTACTGGCAGCTGTTCATATTTGTACTACCTTTATCAAATGTTTCAAAGAATTAATCTCCTTAATAAAACAGCTACATGTTGTGTAGTATGTAGAGAAAAATAGCATTTCAATGACATTATACATGGTTGAGTTAATATTGTTGTTATGAAATGTTGGCTTGTCTTGTGTTTCATCAGCTGTTTATTTTAACATATTGTATATCAGATTTGCTTGGTTAGCAGATTATTATCAAACCTGGAAAACTAGTTTACATATTTTGATGGTTAATATCAAACGTGGGAAAACAGGCCTTGTTTACATATTGTGATGGTCAATCTCGGATTCCGATCAATGTTTTCGTGGCCCTTTTTATTAGTTCCTTTGTGACCTTAAGTCACATGGAACTAATGTAATGGTTCACATGTAAAATGTGTGTATGAGATGTGACACCAAAGGAGGTCAGCATATTTGTAAACAAATAGGCTCCGAAACGGTGCATCGCGGCAGGTCTACATTGTGCTCGATAGTTGCTGGTGGACATGCAATTGTGCAAGAAATGTTTGTTTTTCGGTTAGATGAAAAATGTAAGCTGTAGGCGATAAAACATATACCCCCTACCACCAGTTTTGAGTCGTTTTTTAGTCGAAAATTTTATTTGCGCATTCAAACTTTCCTGACATTTTTTTTTCTGTCGCAAGCTGCCTAGAAAAGTTCTTTATGTTGTTTTCGCGACTGTCAGTAAACATTGAGCAAGCTGAGATAGTTGTGGCATATCGGCCACTTAACTGTGCTATTATTTGAAGGTGTTCTGTGTTTTAGTATACTCTAACGGCTAAGATTGACGGACCTGGTGTACCTAGGCCTAAACACATACGTAATGTAGGCTTCTCTGTGGGCGACACCGTCGGACCTGGTGTAGGCCTAGACACATCTGATATACTATACCATTACGTAAAGTAGGTTTCTTGGCCTACCACCAGCCTACCGTCAAGCAATAAAAATCAACATTTCTGGAATTATTTTCCAAGAAATGATGGTTAAAAATTCTGGACACATAAATATGCAGCATGTGATGGACGGACGAAGCTAAGGGTTGGCGGGGGCAGCATGTGATGGACAGACGAACCTAAGGGTTGGCGGTGGGACGGGAGTTCATCAAATGATGTTTGGGAAAATAATGGTCAGAACTATAAAAATAATTATTTAAACAACCCAAACCATTGCTGGATTGTCGTAGAAAATGTAGTAGGAATCACAGTACAGCACTGTATAGTGAGTATAATTACATAATTACAAATACTAGCCCCTCATTCAAAGCCTAGACTAATATTAATTGGGCTAGGAGCATGGGCCCAAGCTAGATAGACGGCGCCTGATTTTCGCTGCGGTTCGCCATCTGAACTTTTTGGGATTAGGTTAACGACCGGTGTATAGGCTGCACCCAAAACTTCGAGGGGAAAATCGCGTATGAAATTTGCGGCTTATTCACCGGAAAATATGGTTTATATAGCAAAAACTTGTGTTTCTTCATGATTTTAAGAAGGTGGGGGGGGGGGAATTTGTATGAGGCTGGGCGGAAGGCCTTACAAATAGCTTTAGGATGGGCTCAAGACGTCAAGAGTGGGAGGCGCCGCCCACCTCCGCCCTGCATAACGACATTCCTGCACTTCTCAGAACCGCTTATCC